ACACGCACAGCGACGGGATGCTGCCGGGAAGCCCCGCTCGGCACCCGCGTCGGTAGTAGTAGTAGTCGTCGTCGTACTTTATACTAGTCGTAGTTGTAGTGGTAGAACTAGTAGTAGTAGCAGTAGTAGTAGAAGTAGTAGTGGTAGTAGTAGTACTAGTAGTAGTAGTAGTACTAGTAGTAGCAGTAGTAGTAGTAGTAGTAGTAGTAGTAGTAGTCGTAGTAGTAGCAACAGTAGTTGCTGTAGTAGTAGTAGTAGAAGTCATCCTCGTCCTTCTCATAGTAGTAATAGTAGTAGTACTACTAGTAATAATAGTAGTAGTACTAATCCTAGCAATCCTAGCAGTAGTAATAGTAGTAATAGTACTAATAGTAGTGTAGTAGTAGTCGTCGTCGTCGTCGTAATAGTAAAAAAAAGTAATAGTAATAGTAATAGTACTAGTAATACTAATAGTAATAGTAATAGAAATAGAAATAGTAATAGTAATAGTAATAGTAATGGTAAGAGTAATAGTAATAGTAATAGTAATAGTAATAGTAATAGTTATAGTAATAGTTATAGTAATAGTTATAGTAATAGTAAAGGTAATAAAAATAGTAATAGTAATAGTAATAGTAATAATAATAGTAATAGTAATAGTAATAGTAATAGTAATAGTAATAGTAATAGCAATAGTAATAGCAATAGTAATACTAATAGTAATAATAATAATAAAAGTAATAATAATAATAATCGTAATAGTAGTAGTAATAGTAATAGGAATAGTAATAGTAATAGTAATAGTAATAGTAATAGTAGTAGTAGTAGTAGTAGTAGTAGTAGTAGCAGCAGTAGTAGTAGTAGTAGTAGTAGTAGTGGTACAAGTAGTAGTAGTAGTAGTAGTAGTAGTAGTAGTAGTAGTAGTAGTAGCAGTAGTAGTAGTAGTAGTAGTAGTAGTGGTAGTAGTAGTAGTAGTACTAGTGCACACATTCACACACTCACACACAGACAGACACACAGAAACACACCTAATTTGGGTAGTGTTTTGCACCTTTACGAGAGGGGCGCTTGGCCTAAGCGCCCCTCTCGTAAAGGAGCAAAAAAGTAGCCCAACCAGGCGTTTTCAGGACCTCAAAAACGCAGGGGTTGGCCACCAGAGCCAGGTGGGGTTAGGCCCCAACTTGCACACACCCTGGCTGGACCCCCCGCCCCAGACCCCTGTTCTTCAACCTAACGGTTGGCAAGAGAAAGACCCAAAAAAGGTACGTATTTGGGAGGTCGGCGGGCGGGGGGGGGGGGGGGGGGTCCGGTCCGGGAACGGCCCGACCTCGGAAATGCATGCCCTTTACGGCGTTTTCAGGCCTAAAAAGACCCAAAAAAGGTCGGTGGGTGGGGGGCGGGTCCGGTCCGGGAACGGCCCGACCTAAGAAATACGTGCCCTTTACGGCGTTTTCAGGGCCCAAAAAGACCCAAAAAAAGGTACGTATTTGGGAGGTTGGCGGAGAGGGGGGGGTCCGGTCCGGGAACGGCCCGACCTCCGAAATACGTGCCTCTTACGGCGTTTTCAGGCCGAAAAAAAAACCCAAAAAAGGTACGTATTTGGGAGGTCGGCGGGCGGGGGTCCGGTCGGGAACGGCCCGACCTCCGAAATACGTGCCCTTTACGCCGTATTTGGGAGGTCGGCGGGCGGGGGGGTCCAGTCCGGGAACGGCCCGACCTCCGAAATACGTTCCCTTTACGGCGTTTTCAAGCCAAAAAAACCACAAAAACGTACGTATTTGGGAGGTCGGCGGGCGGGGGGGGGGGGTCCGGTCCGGGAACTCCCCCCGACCTAAGAAATACGTGCCCTTTGCGGCGTTTTCAAGCCCAAAAGGAACAGCCCCACCTCCGAAATACGTGCCCTTTACGGCGTTTTCAGGCCCAAGGTACGTATTTGGGAGGTCGGCGGGCGGGGGTCCGGTCGGGAACGGCCCGACCTCGGAAATACATGCCCTTTACGGCGTTTTCAGGCCTAAAAAGACCCAAAAAAGGTCGGCGGGCGGGCGGGGGGGGGTCCGGTCCGGGAACGGCCCGACCTAAGAAATACGTGCCCTTTACGGCGTTTTCAGGGCCCAAGACCCAAAAAAGGTACGTATTTGGGAGGTTGGCGGGGGGGGGGGGTCCGTCCGGGAACGGCCCGACCTCAGAAATACGTGCCCTTTACGGCGTTTTCAAGCCCAAAAAGACCCAAAAAAGGTACGTATTTGGGAGTCGGCGGGCGGGGGTCCGGTCGGGAACGGCCCGACCTCCGAAATACGTGCCCTTTACGCCGTATTTGGGAGGTCGGCGGGCGGGGGGGTCCAGTCCGGGAACGGCCCGACCTCCGAAATACGTGCCCTTTACGGCGTTTTCAGGCCCAAAAAGACCCAAAAAAGGTACGTATTTGGGAGGTCGGTGGGCGGGGGGGGGGGTCCGGTCCGGGAACGGCCCGACCTCGGAAATACATGCCCTTTACGGCGTTTTCAGGCCTAAAAAGACCCAACAAAGTCGGCGGGTGGGGGGGTCCGGTCCGGGAACGGCCCGACCTAAGAAATACGTGCCCTTTACGGCGTTTTCAGGCCCAAAAAGACCCAAAAAAGGTACGTATTTGGGAGGTTGGTGGGGGGGGGGGGGGGGGGGTCCGGTCCGGGAACGGCCCGACCTCCGAAATGCGTGCCCTTTACGGCGTTTTCAGGCCCAAAAAGACCCAAAAAAGGTACGCATTTGGGAGGTCAGCGGCCGGGGGGGGTCCGGTCCGGGAACGGCCCGACCTAAGAAATACGTGCCCTTTACGGCGTTTTCAGGACCCAAAAAAAGGTACGTATTTGGGAGGTTGGCGGGGGGGGGGGGGGGGGGGGGGGGGGGGGGCCGACCTCCGAAATACGTGCCCTTTACGGCGAAAGACCCAAAAAAGGTACGTATTTGGGAGGTCGGCGGGCGTCAGGCGTTCAAGACCGCCTGAGCGTGTCCAAGTGTTTCTCGCGAAGTACTTTACGCTACTCTTCTCTTCTCTCGTGAGGGAACTTTGGGCTTGGGGTTTTAGGGTGGCTCAGGGTGTGAGGTTTTTTGTGGAACCGTGCGAACCGCGAACCGAACCGTCCGGAACCGTCGCTCAAACCGGAACCGCCGAACCGAACCGCAGAAACAGAAACCGTAACCGAACCGAACCGAACCGTTTGTTTGCTGGTTTAGGGTTTAGGGTTTAGGGTTTACGGTTTAGGGTTTAGTCTTTCGGGTTTCGGGTTTAGGGTTTAGGCTGCATTATTTATTACTTCGTTTGCTTCAAAAACCATGGTGCCAGATCGTCGTGTCAAATTACACGCCGTTTGGGATAGGAGACTTTCAAAGCTGCCTCATGCAAGAGTCCAGGAACTTGGGTTGTTTTGGGCTTCTGGGTTTTCGGGTCGTGGAGCTCACTACCCCAAACCCTAAACCCTAAACCCTAAACCCCACACTCTACACCCTACACCCTAAACCCTAAACCCTAAACCCTAAGCCCTAACCAACCCTAAGCTTTCTAAGGCAACGTGCCGTCCTTGTTGGCGAGCCCCAGATCGGATGAATCCCCCGCCTGCGCATCGTGAACCCTAAGCCCTGAAGTTTAGGGTTCAGGTTTAGGCTTTGGGGTTTGGGGTTTAGGGTTTGGGGTTTGGGGTTTATGGTTTGGGGTTTAGGGTTTTGGGTTTGGGGTTTCGGGTTTGGGGTTTTGGGTGTAGGGTTCGGGGTTTGGGGTTTGGGGTTTAGGGTTTGGGGTTTGGGGTTTGGGGTTTAGGGTTTGGGGTTTGGGGTTTGGGGTTTAGGGTTTAGGGTTTGGGGTTTTGGGTTTAGGGTTTGGGGTTTCGGGTTGGGGGTTTAGGGTTTTCTGATAGCCTTGCTTACAATGAGCGAGCAAAAACTCCAAGCATGAGCATGCAAATAAAAGCGTCTTGCTTGCAAGAGGTTTCCACTGTTCCCTTTTGACCAAAGACCTTGTCATCACGAGGTCTATTAGACACTTATGGGTTTTAAGTGCTTGGCATGGTTTATTGGGCTTGAGAGGTTTCAGGTGCCAGGGTTGCTCAGGGTGCGAAATTTGTTTCATAGGGTTCACTGTCAAGGCGGCTGGAAGTTGAAATTGCGCGCAAGGCTCAAAGTGATTTCTTCAGCTCCCCAAAGGTATCGGAGAGAGAAGGCACTTGCGATTTACTTACCAATTCTTAAGGGGACGAGGTTCCGGATCCAATCCCTGAAAGGGTTATGGAGGGGCTGGGGTACACAGAGATCAATGTGAATATGCCTTCGACTAGATATGGATCCTCATTCTGACTCTGGCCATATTCCTAAGTTACGCTGTATTCTGCTCTCTGGGCATAAGGTAAGTGACTCCCGTTCTCAGCTCCTTTGTATCCAGCAACCTCATGGCAGCCTGTGAACCCCAAAAGCCAAAAACACCAAAACCCAAACTCCCAAAACCCTAAACTCCAACCCCCCTGAACCCTAAACCCTAAACCCTAAACCCTAAACCCTAAACCCTAAACCCTAAACCCTAAACCCTAAACCCCAATGGGTCCGTTTCTCTCTTGCCGCGATGCTGCACACAGTCTGCTTCCAACAGGCTCTGGGTGCCATCTTCTTCCCACTGAACCTTTGAGGATTTGGGTGGGTTTAGGGTTTAGGGTTTAGGGTTTAGGGTTTAGGGTTTAGGGTTTAGGGTTTAGGGCTTAGGGCTTAGGGGGTTTAGGGGGCTTAGGGGGTTGAGGGGGTTTAGGGGGTTTAGGGGGTTTGGGGGGTTTGGAGGGTTTAGGGGGTTTAGGGGGTTGAGGGGGTTTAGGGGGTCAGGGGGTTTAGGGGGTTTAGGGGGTTTAGGGGGGTTGGGGGGTTTGGGGGGTTTGGGGGGTTTGGGGGGTTTAGGGGGTTTAGGCGGTTTAGGCGGGTTTAGCGGGTTTAGGGGGTTTGGGGGGTTTAGGGGTTTAGGGGGTTTAGGGGGCTTAGGGGGTTTAGGGGGTTTAGGGGGTTTAGGGGGTTTAGGGTTTAGGGTCGGATGTCTGCAGCTTTCGCCTCAGAAGACCGCAACCCTTCGGCACCTTGTGCCGCCCGGACTTCTTCGTCTCCAGTAGAAAGCACTTGTGCCACGCTGCATCGAAGTACCTTTGGCTCTTAGGGTACAGGCGGATTTAGGGTTTAGGGTTTAGGGCTTAGGGTTTAAGGTCTAAATGCGAGGGCTTCAGGTGCATGGTATACTTTTGTAGAGATAGATGCATACACAACTTTAGGCTTTTTTCATAGGCCTCATGAAATTGAGCATCTACTTAAGTATATGTCAACGGAAATATAACCCCGGATCCCCAAGCCCCAAAAAACACGGGGTTTAGGTTTTAGGGATTCAGGGGTTTGCACAAACCCTCACCCCAAACCCCTAAACCCCTAGACCCCTAAACCCCTAAAACCCCTAAACCCTAAACCCCTAGACCCCTAAACCCTCAGGGCTTAAAACCCTATACCCTAAAGCCTAAACCCCTAAACCCTAAACCCCTAAACCCCTAGTGCCCTAAACCCTTCTGAGGGTTTACAGCCACAGGTGCCCCCAGAGTGGCTCCCGCGCTAGCGGGGGCGCAGGCTGGGGCTCAACCCTGGGTAACTTTGGCGACTCCTGGTCTGATCTTGGGATGGGATTTAATGGGTTTAAGGGCTTTTTAGGGTTTTGGGGTTTTCTTAGGGTTTAGGGTTTAGGGATCTAAGGTTCAGGCTTAAGGTTTTTGGGAGTTTTTCTTAGGGTTTAGGGTTTAGGGCTTTAGGATGTAGGGTCTGATCTTGGGATGGGAGTTCATGGGTTTAGGTTTTTTTGGGCTTTTCGGATTTGTTTTTGTTTTTTTTTGGGGTTCAGGGGGTGAGGTGTAGGGTTCAGGTTTAGGGGTTTAGGGGTTTAGGGGTTTAGGGGTTTAGGGGTTTAGGGGTTTAGGGGTTTAGGGGTTTAGGGGTTTAGGGGTTTAGGGGTTTAGGGGTTTAGGGGTTTAGGGGTTTAGGGGTTTAGGGGTTTAGGGTTTAGGGGTTTAGGGGTTTAGGGGTTTAGGGGTTTAGGGGTTTAGGGGTTTAGGGGGTCTAGGGGTTTAGGGGTCTAGGGGTCTAGGGGTCTAGGGGTTTAGGGGTTTAGGGGTTTAGGGGTTTAGGGGTTTATGGGTTTAGGGGTTTGGGGTTTAGGGGTTATTAGGGGTTCTGGGGTTTAGGGGTTTAGGGTTCAGGTTTTAGGGGTGTGGTGTGCTGCCCCCACCTCGCCCCCACCCTCTTCTTCTCTATAAGGTATGGTACTGGGCTTGCTGAAGCCTGGGTTGTTGCTTACCCGGTTCAGCTACCCTCAGACCCCTAAAACCCTAAGCCCTAGGCCCTAAACCCTACAAACCCTAACGCTGGACCCTAAACCCTGCAAACCCTAACGCTGGACCCTAAACCCTAAACCCTCTATAAGCCCTCGACCCGCGGCCCCCTCCAAGTGTCCTGCGCTTCACCTTCCTCCACTGGCACAGCCCGCGCGCGCTTGCGGCCGCGCCTTGCTGCTGATGGCGTCGATGCGTCCGCCTATGGGAGGCTCCCAGAGAGTTTTGCTGGTTTAAGGTGTAGGTTGGGATGTTCCTCCTATATAGTAAGAGTCCTTAACAAGGATTTTAATGGGAGGGGGGGGGGGGTACTATAGTCTCTATTGAGGACCCTTAGGATAAGGGGGCACCTCCCAAATTTAGGGTTTAGGGTATAGGGCTACCTGCGACCCTCTTTACCTACAGTTTTATGGGTAATGCCTGCTAATTAAGTGGTAGCTACTACTAAACCGTAGGTAAATAGAGTCCCAGGCGAGGTTTAGGGTACAGGGCTGAGAGGGTTTTTGGGGTGTTTGGTTTCGGGCTTAGGGTTGTTGGGTCAGGGATGAGGGTTAGGGCCTAGTTTCGGGTTTCTGCTTGCGGGCTTAAAGCTTGGGCTTACTTGGGAGGCCGTTCGACTTAGTACGGGCTAATAAGTTGGGTTTTAGGGTTCTAGGGGTTACTATATAGACTTACTAAGTCCAAGGGACTCCAGTGAGGGCTACAGTATAGTTTAGGCCCAACTCATAATGAAGGAATAGACATGAAAGTTTGTAGGGATCATCCAGTACGAATTAAGCCGTATCTACTAAGAAGAGTTATTGGGATCTATGGGCTGAGACTTGGCGTTGGTAGGGGCTTGGGCTTTCAGGTTTTGGGGCTTAGGGTTGGAGCTTAAGGTCCAGGCTTACCTTAACCCTACACCCCAAGCACCCTACTGCAAACCCCTAAGACGCCCAAACCCTAAAGTCCACAAACCATGCATACGAAACAGGCACAGCAAAAAACTCAGCAACATAAAAATTGCAACCCTGGCGTGGAACCCAAGGACCCTAAACCCTACACCCTAAACCCCAAACCCTACTCCTAAACCCAAGGAGGACCTGGGGCGCCCCGGGCTGTGCGATGGCTTCCGCGACCAGGGCATCCAGCCCCCGAGGGTCCGCGCCGCCTTGTGCTCCGGGGAAGGGGGTGGGTTCAGGGTTCAGGGTTCAGGTTTCAGGGTTCAGGGTTCAGGGTTCAGGGGTTCAGGGGTTTAGGGTTTAGGGTTTAGGGGTGCCAAATGAATTGAGGGGGGGGGGGGGGGGGGGGGGGGGGGGGGGGGGTGGTTTGGGATTTAGGGTTTAGGGTCCTAGGGTTCATGTTGCTCCCAAGCCACACTGGGCCCCAATGCCCTTCTCGCGCAGGAGGCGGATCGCCTTCTGCCTTAACGAGAAGGCTTCGGGTTGGGGGCTTAGGGTTTAGGGCTTAGGGTTTAGGGTTTAGGGTTTAAGATTTAGGGTTTCGGCTTTAGGGTTGAGAGTTGAGAGCTTTAGGAGGGGGGTTTGGACAATTCCTCCTTGATTGCGGAAGACCGCTCAAAGGATCCCCATGTAGTTTAAGGTCTATTGTTAAGTTGAGGGGCTCTGTGGGTTTGGCTCTTATTGGTGGTTCCTAAGCCCTAAACCCTTCAGCAACTTTGGTTAGAGGGCATCCCAAACCCTTCGCCCTAAGCCCTAAGCCCTAAACACAAAACCCCAAACTCTAAACCGCAGCTCGTTTCGAGTGTCTGTGTCTCTGTGTGTGTGTGTGTACGTCACGAATGAATAGCCGAGGCCCTACATTTAAGGGGTTGAGGTTCTGAGGACTTGGGGGTTTGAGGGCTCAAGGGCTGATGGGTTCACAGCTTCAAGGGTTCAGGGTTTAGGGTTCTCAAACCCTAAACCTGTGCACGTCTTTACCTCGCTGCTCCAACATACCCGTGGGCTTCTAAGCACCGTTATCCAGAGTCCCGGGAAGTAGGGCTTACGGTTTAGGATTAGTAGGAGCCGTTATGGCACGATCCACTTGCCTAAGCCCTAGAACCCGAAACTGCAAACGCTGAACCCTTAAACCCTGAACCCTCAAACCGTGAACCCCTAAACCCCAACCCTAAAAACCCTAAATCCGTCAATCCCTAAACCCCTCAATCGTCGGAGCCCAAACTACATAAGGAACCTCTAGTACATTGTTAGAAATATCCCATATCCCTAAACCCTAATTAACCCTAAACCCCAAACCCTGTAGCTTAATTAAGGGGTATTGGAGTCCCTAACCCCTAAACCCTAAACCCTAAACCCTAAACCCTGAACCCTAAACCCTAAACCCGCCGGAGCTGCGGATCCAGGCCCGTCTCGCGCTGGACTTTCCGTGCGGGCTGCAAGGCCAGCTTGCTGTGCATCTCCCGTGCCTTCCTCGGGCTCTCAGAAGGGGGCCCGTGTCGGGGTTTAGGGTTTAGGGTTCAGGTTCAAGGCTTGGGGTCGTGCACTAAGGACTTCGGGGTTTGGGGCTAAACCCTAAACCCTAAACCCTAAACCCTAAACCCTACACCCTAAACTTGCAGCCAAAGGTTCTCGCGCGACCCGACCACCATCCGAGCCGATCGCGCCAGCATCTTCCCCTCGAAGAGGGGCAGGGCCTCTACCAGGCCCGCCTCCCCGTGCCTTGGACAGCAGGTTCAAGGTCTAGGGTTTAGGGTTTAGTTTAGGGTTTAAGGGAACGAGCAGGAACACTGCAAACCCTAAACCCTCAACTCCGAAACCCCCCAAAGATCCACAAAGTTCTCAAGCTGAGGCCCTAAACCCTAAACCCTAAACCCTAAACCCTAAACCCTAAACAGCTGAGGGGCTTGTTGACGCTCTCAGTGAGCACCTCCGCGAAGAGGACCGCGTCGCTCAAGGCTTGGTTGGCCCCCTGCGCCTGCCAAAGCGGTTTCAGAGGGTTGGGTTTAGGGTTTAGGGTTTAGGGTTTGGGGTTTGGGCTTTAGGGTTTAGGGTTTAGGGTTTCGGGTTTAGGCAAACGGTTTAGGGTTCAGGGTTCAGGGTTTAGGGTTTCGGGGTTTAGGAGGGTTTCGGGTTTAGGGTTTGGGGGTTTCTGGGTTTTAGGGTTTGGGGGTTTAGGATTTTAGGGTCTCTGGGCATTAGGGTCTGGGGTTTAGGAACTTAGGGTTTCTGGGCTTTAGGATTTAGGGCTTCTGGGCGGTATAGGATTTGGGGTTTCTGGGCTTTAGGGTTTAGGATTTTGGGGTTTCCGGGCTTTGGAGTTTGATGTATGGGTTTGGGGTTTCTGCGTTTAGGGCTTCTGGGTCAAGGGTTTTGGAGCTCCAGGCTTCCTACCGCGGACCCCACCGCACCTTTTTTAAGGAGTTTCGTAGGGAATGCAGGGCTTGACCCTAAACCCTAACCCTAAACCCTAAACCCTAAACCCTAAACCCTAAACCCTAAACCCTAAACCCTAAACCCTAAACCCTAGACCCTAAACCCTAGACCCTAAACCCTAAACCCTAAACCCTAACCTATAGCACGACCAACCCTGGTGTGGACCCCTTGAAGTTTAGAGCATCGGGCTTGGGCCCCCGCCAAAGCTGCGTAACTTCAAGTACTATAGGGCCTACTAGGTTTTAGGGTGTAGGGTTGCCCTGAATCCTGAGCCCTGGACACCCTAACAACCCTAAAAAACTAGAAACCCTGAGGGCCCTAAAACCGGTTTGGTTCAGGAAGTAAAATCGGGTTTAGGGTTTGGGGACAGGGGAAAGGGGTGGAGGGGTTCCGATTTCAACCACAAAAAAACTCCCAAAATCCGCAAGCCCGAGATTCCTTAACGCGACCAAACCCCAAAACCTTAAATCCCGAAACGCCCTATACCCTAGGCCCTAACCCCTAAGCTACGCGGCCTTGAAGGGCGTCATGGGGTGGGCGGCGTCCCCGATGAGCGTCACCTTACTTCTCCAAAAACCAGGGAACGAACCAGGCAAAGCTTGATTCTTCCTACCAAATAAGGGATCGGGAACCCCAAAAATCGAACCTTCAATCGCATCTGCACCCCTAAGCCCACAAACCTCCCACCCGAAACCACTAAGTGAACCCTAACCCCTAAACCCTAAACCTTAAACCCTAAACCCCTAAACCCCTAAACCCAATAAACCCTAAACCCCTAAACCCCTAAACCCCTAAACCCCTAAACCCCTAAACCCCTAAACCCCTAAACCCCTAAACCCCTAAACCCCTAAACCCCTAATAAACCCCTAATAAACCCCTAAACCCCTAAACCCCAAAACCCCAAAACCCCTAAACCCCTAAACCCCAAACACCTAAACCTTAAGCCCAAACCCTAAACCCTGAAGCCTGAACCCCTAAACCCTGAACCGAAACCCTAAATCCCTAATTAAACCCTCATCCCCTAAACCCTAAACCCCTCTAAACCTTATAAACCCTATAAACCCAAAACCCGAAACCCTAAAACCTTTTAAACCACACTTCAGTCACGCGCCGGAGCCGGTCTTCGGAGTTGCGCAGCGCGCCCGGCTCGAGGAGGTCCTGGGCTTCACAGGGTTTATGGGTTCAGGGTTTAGGGTTTATAGGGCCCGGGGTTTAGTCAGGGTTCATATAGGGTTTGGGGTTTAGGGTTCAGCATCTCAGTCCAAGCATTCACTAGTCAAGCAGCTTGTCAAGCGTTGGAAAAATACCAACCACCCAAGAAACCCATGAACATTGAGAAAATATAAAGTTCACTCAATACATTCCCAGTAGGCTTAAAGCTCAACGTCCAGTGAACCCAAAACCCGAAATCTAAGGCCCACAACAGCTCCTATACCCAAGCCCTAACCCTTACTGCCCTCAACCCTATGCGCTAGAACCCTAAACTGTCGGGTTTAGGAGCCCCTGTGCGGCAAGCCACGAAAGTGTCCAGCTGAGTGTTAAAAGAAACTCTATGCCCCAAACCCCAGGGCCTTAAACCTAGGCGCCCTCAACCCTATGCCTCGACTGAAAGACTGAAAGTTCCCCGGTGGCCGTGTTTTTTTTGGAACGAAATGCTCCGAGTAATGGGGGGGGGGGGGGAGGGGGGGGGGAGGGGGGGGGGGAGGGGGGGGGGAGGGGGGGGGAGGGGGGGGGGGGGAGGGGGGGGGGGGGGCGGGGGGGGGGGGGGAGGGGGGGGGCGGGAGGGGGGGCGGGAGGGGAGGGGGGGGCGGGATTTCGAAGTTCAGAGCGCAAGACTTTAGGAGCTTGCAAGTTTGAAAGCTTGGGTGGTTGAAGACAGGAGTTTGAGGGTGGAGGGTTTAGATGTCCAACGGCATGCCTACGCGCCGTCCTCTCATGGCTGTGTGGCTTTTTGGGGATGCGGAATGCATATGCATGTCTTCACCCAGTTGGTATTGAAGTCTCATCTCCGCAAGTTGCGTGTCAGAACTACATTAACGCAGGCGGGCGGGGACTTCTTACTAATGTGTCGGGTGTTTTTGCGGGGGATGGATTTGGTTCGTGGCGATCAGAGCGACCGAGATCCTGCAACCCACCGACAGCTCAAGTCACCCTTCAAATCTGACCTCTGCATATTCAACCTGCACCTCTCAGCCTCCCAGGGCTCCTAGGGCCCAACTCCCGGACTGACTCTACACCCAATGCCTTTTAACACCTGAACCATAAACCCTGAAATCCAGCTTGAATGTAGATGGCTTTTTGCTATTATCCCACACCACACCGTCACAACCGGCGCAACCACCCCCTACATTGAAGGCACGCCCAACCTGTTTCCTGACATAGATCTCTCGAGGCTATGAATCTGCACTCTGAAAATAATTCTGGGAGGCCTGACTGTCCCCCCGCGAATGAAAACCGCTCGACTTTCCAAGGTTTTCTTGGCGGATCCTGCGGCGCAGATCCTTCTGCGAAGCTTCCATGCCCTTCCGTGGCTTCTCGGCTGAGGTTTGCTCCCTTCCATTCCCACGTCCGCACATGAACTACAAGACATGGCTTGCTGATCTGAGGATGTGGCGCCGAGCAGTTCGTAGGGCGCGACCCTACACCGTAGAAACTTGCATTCATCAACATTCAAAAGGAAGGCAACTGATCCAAGTTCTGGCCAGCATGAGCGAAGAGTGATGGTGCCTTCCGCCTGCAGCATGAACAGCGGCAAAAATTAATAACACCTAATCCCTCAAATCGCGACCTCTGGAGGATGCACGAGGGCACCCCGGCATGCTGCCAACGCAGTGTTAACTTCGATGCCTCAACTGACTCAGCTGTCAAAGGTGGAACAGGGCCAAAACCAATTCCAGTCTTGCTGTACGCCAGGGCCCAGACAAAAGGTCATGGCAACGGCGGTTCCGAAAGTCCGACGAGGCTTGAGCCCCAACTTTGCACGGGAATGGATTGGAACTGTCCATCACGCTGCTTTGTGCAATCTTATCTTTATGTTATAAAGACCGATGTGGAAAACACAAGCATGTGGGATATCTGCTTTTGTTTTTCATTTTTCCGTTCCCGATATCCGTTTCAACATGCTTCCGTTCTGGCTCTTCGTTTGAGATTCCCTTTTCCACCAATACCGTTCCTTTCGAGAAAGCGCGGCATTGACAAGCGATGTGTTTCTTTCTTGTTTCCAGACTGCATGTCCCAGGCTGTGGAGTAGTCATGACTCGAACCAGGGGCGGGGGGGGCACGAAGCAGGCAAATGCCCAGCAGGCACAAATGCCCACGAACCAGGCAAAAATGCCCACGAAGACGGCAAAAATGCCCAGAACCAGGCAAACAAGCCCACGAAGCAGGCAAAAATGCCCACGAACCCGGCAAATGGCCACGAATTAGGCAAAATGTGCCGCCCACTGGGTCATTAAGGTGTAAATACATATATAGAAAGAGAGGTTTAGGGTTGAGGGTTTAGGGTTTGCGGTTTGGGGTTTCGGGTTGGTTTAGGGTTTATTTAAGGTTTAGGGTTTAGGATGGTCCCTAAACCCATCTCATGAAACTCTAAATATGATCTGCTTAAACCAAGAAGGGAAAACAGGAGAATATCCCCAGGGCCTACCTAGCTACAGGATATGTAGAAACGATTGGGCGTGTAGGGCCCTAAACCCTAGTTAAGGGTTTTAGGGTTTATGGTTTAGGGTTGAGCACCACAAACCATAAACCCCAAACCCCAAACCCAAAACCCTAAACCCAAAACGTAAACCTCAAACCTCACACCGAAGACCGTGAACGGTAAACCGTAAACCGTAAACCGTGAACCGTGAACCGTAAACCGTAAACCGTAAACCGTAAACCGTAAACCGTAAACCCAAACCCTAGCCTTATCGAGATTTATATGGTCGAGGGGTTTTGGGGTGTATTTCAGGTTTAGGGTTTGGGGCTGCGGGGTTCGGGTTTAGGGGGTTTCGGGGGTTTAGGGAGGTTAGGGGGGTTTAGGGGAGTTAGGGGAGTTAGGGTTTAGGGCACTCCTTAACGAGCTATTCAGACTCAGGGGATGAGGACATACGGGCTCAAGGCTTTCAAATGGCCTGAAGGTTTGAGGGTTTGCGGCTATGGAACCCGTATTCCTGATTGAAGGAACAGGGTTTGGGGGATGATGGGCTCCCGCATAAAAACACTAAATCTTAAACCCTGAACCCGAAACCCTAAACCTGAAACCTTAGGGTTTAGGCCACAGGGTTGAAGGTTTGGGGGCTCGGGGATGCTATAGGGTTCCAAAGGAACCCTATCATCCAGGGTTTAAGACGGATGTCCACGCCAAATTCTATATCCTCCAAGCACCCTAAACCCTAAACTCTGAACCCTAAACGGCCCTAAACCCTAAACCCTCAACCCTAAACCCCAAACCCCAAACCCTAAACCCTAAGCCCTAAACCCTGAACTCGAAGCTGCTTGCAAGGCCGTGAGTCCCTATCATAAACTGGGTAGCCGGAGAAGGAGTCCAAAGGCGTCTCGCGAAGCATCTCCTCAGTGGTTAGGATTTAGGGTTTAGGGTTCAAGGTTTAGGGGGTTTAGGGGGTTTAGGGGGTTTAGGGGGTTTAGGGGGTTTAGGGGGTTTAGGGGGTTTAGGGGGTTTAGGGGGTTTAGGGTTTAGGGATTCGGGGTGGCCCAGGGTCTGGGGTTTAGGGGGCAGTTTAGGCTTCAGGGTTTACGGGGGCTGTTCGGGGCTTGGGGCTTAGGTTTGTTCAGGGTCTGTCGCAGTGGGCCGCTTAGGATGCCGGATTCTAAGACCCCTGGTAGAACCAAACAGAAGCCTAAAACCAACATATGCTTAAACCCTAAACCCTAAACCCTAAACCCTAAACCCTAAACCCTAAACCCTAAACCCTAAACCCTAAACCCTAAACCCTAAACCCTAAACCTAAACCCTAAAACCCTTTGAAACATATTAGCCAACATCAGCCTCCGACACCCAAGTGAGGGGACCTAGAATGTATCCCAAGGTCATACCTGGCAAAGGAACCAGCCAGAAGGGGTCTTCAAGCAACAGAACCTAGAAAAGGAACCTAACAAAAGGTTATAACAGTCCTTGCTAGGGATTTCAAAAGGGGGGGGGGGGTTCTCTAATCCCTATGCAGGACTGATAGTATGAGGGGGGAACATCCCAAGTATGAACCTTAAACTAAGAACCTTAGGGTTCAGGGTTTAGGGTTCAGGGTTTAGGGTTTCTTCAAGACCAGGAACCTAACAAAGGTTTTCTTCAAGAAGGGGGCCAGTCTCCTACGGTAGGATCGCACCACCTTAAAAAACGGGTTTAGGGTTTAGGGTTTAGGGTTTAGGGTTTAGGGTTTAGGGTTTAGGGTTTAGGGTTTACAAACATTCTGAGCATGACCCACAGAAACCCAATACGCAAAAATATAGCTTGTCCCAAGAGCCTACCTAGTTCTTACTCCCTTATGGTCCCTATAATAACCATAAGAACCACCGAGCCTCTGCTCTAATCATTGAGGCCACTCTAGTAACAAAAACTCTCTTCAAGAAGGGGCCAAAAGCAAACCTCAAGGTCCTACCTAGCAAAGGAACCTTAAAACAGGAACCTAACCAGAAATTAGGGGGTTTCTTCAAGAAGGGGGTCATGCAAAGGAACCCAAAGCACGGAACCAAACTTAGGGTTTAGGGTTTAGGGTTTAGGGTTTAGGGTTTAGGGTTTAGGGTTTAGGGTTTAGGGTTTAGGGGCCGAGTCTCTGGAATCGGGCTGTGCCACGCCCCACACCGGCGCTGAATCTCGGCCTTCAAGGATGCCTGTGGAGGGTGTGGGCTTCGGTGCTCGGTGTGTTGGTTGCCCTAAACCCTAAACCCTAAACCCTAAACCCTAAACCCTAAACCCTAAACCCTAAACCCTAATCGCCTCGACCCTATCAAGCAGCACAGCAAGATGAAGAGGCAGAAGGAGCGAGGCAAAGTCAAAATAGGTTTGGGTTCTCAGGAGGCTTTGCAAGGCTGGCTTTGGCCGGCCCCTAAACCTTCAAAGCTGAGGAAGATTAGGGTTTGTACGGTTTAGGGCTTGCAGGGTTCAGGAGTTAGGGGTAAAATGCTAAAAGCTACGTAAGTTTAGGGTTTGTCCTAAACCCTAAACCCTTTAGGTTTAGGCTTAGCGGTAACCTCAAAAAATGCCGCCTGATCCTTGCACAGCTTCTTGGCAGCCTCTTCGCCCATCGGAAAGGAAAGCTGCCACATCCTAGGTTTACTCGAAAAAAGCCCTGCTGAGAAAGATTCCTGAGAGTGAGGCTCAGGGTTTCGGGTTTCGGGTTTTGTTTAGGGTGTAAGGTAAGAATAAACTATCATGTAAGTCCCACCTAGCATCGTGGAGGCTGTCGTGAAGGGCATGGCGTAGATTCTTGTGCACCCGTCGACCGTCTCGAAGATGCGGCGGTGGGCCAGTGGCACACGCAGCTCCTCCTCGGTGATGATGCCAAGAACCTATACTCGCCCTTAGAACCTATGACAAAGTTGTATCTGATCTTTCGTATCCCCTTGGGTTTTATTAAAAAAAAAACTCAAAAATTCCTAAGGGGTCTACAGGAACCACGACCAAACCAACGTAGTTCAGCCGATCTCCCGGCAGCGCCAGTTGGCGCCGCACTGTTGAAAAGATTCCATCCGACCCAACCAGAAGAGCTGCGTCGAGGGTCGTTCCGTCAGTCAACGCTATGCGCACTCCATTCCTATACTCCCCTTAGAACCTCAAAAAAAAACCAATACTTCTAATAATAACCTCTTGGGTCTTATATGAACAAAGTAAGAAAAACAATTCCAAAGGGGGATATAGATTCTTCTTGCTCTTATTGGCCTTCGTGGAGCATGTGAAGCCCTTCAGCTTGCTATTCCACCGGATCGTGCCAGGGTGCAGCTTCTCTACGATGCGTTTGCGGAGCAGCTGACGCGGGATGTGAATAAATCGACCTGAAGAAACGCTTTGGCTTTCCTTCCGATCTTTGCTCGTACTGCCAAATGCCTCCCCGAAGAAGCCCAAGATTTCACCAGCGTGCGAGAAGGTGTAGTGCGACGTGGAGGGAGCATCATCCCTAGCCAACTCGATGCCCAAAGTCTGCGTAGTTGAGCCATAACCCTGTATTGTCAAACCATAACCCTGCTTTCGGGAATCAAAGCTGGGATCCGCTTCAAGCACAACCACGTCGAAGCCCTTGTTTTGCAGCGCGACGGCCACGGCGGCCCCGCCAATGCCCCCGCCAACCACTACAATTTGCCCACACTTGGGCACAGCCGATGTAGCGAGGGCAGTGAGCGTTGTAGCAGCGCCGCTCGACTTCTTTCGTTTCTGCAGGGTCTTGACGATGCCCTTCTTACCCGCACGGGCGAACGCCCACTCCATGTTGTCCAGCTCCTCCTCATCGAAGTCATCCAGGCAGCCGAGGACGGAGTCTGCCAAAGACGTGAAGAGCCCTTGATCAAGCTGGTTTGCGCTGGCGAAGACCCATGCCAGAGTGGCAGTCTCTTGCGCCGAGAAATCCCCAACTCGCTGCGCTGCAGACCTAGCCAAGGCGCTGAACAGGGAGACCTTACTTGTCCAGTACCGAGGGGTGTTAAAGGGTAACCTTTGGGATTCTAGGGGGAATATATTACCCCAAAAAGGTTAAAGGTTACCTACTCTACTACGAAGAGACATCCAATTTCACGTCTGCCTTGGCAAAGGCCCAGGCAATGTTGGCCACATGGGGTGCGTTGAGATCATCCAAGTTCCGTTTGCCGTTGCAAAACGATCTCGCAACTGACTTGAACAGCTCCTCGTCAAAGTGGCCAGCCTTGGCAAAGGCCCAGGCTATGTTGCCCAGATCCTGCGCATTAAACTCGTCGAGGCACTGCTGGGCTGCCACACTCAACGCCATGAAGAGCCCCTCATCCAGGTGGCAAGCCTTTGCAAACGCCCAGGCAGTGTTGGCCTTGGTAGCACAGTAACCATATTTTAAGAAGGGCACCCTTTTTTTGGTTGGTTACTTTATAAGGGAACCCAGAACCAAAAACAACAGGGTATATAAAGGGTACCACTGGGCTGCCAAGTGGCGAGGTCCTGGGAGTTGAAGTCAGACCCCATCTTCCCTCCCAAGCGTTGACGGATGGCCTTGGCGAACGCCTCGAAAAGCGCTGCCTCGCGATAGCCAGCCTTTGCGAAGGCCCACACGGTGCTCGCGAGACCCTGCGCGTTGAAGCTCTTCTGCTCCAAGTGCCACTCCGCCGATTTGGCTAAGGCCGCAAAGAGATCCGAGTCGAACTGTCCCAGCCTTGCAAAGGCCCATGCCGTGTTGGCTAGGTCCATCTCGTTAAACGAGTCGATCGACTGCCTCGCCATGCTTCCCAGTATTCGGAGTAACCGGGCATCCAGAAAGTTTGCTTTGGCAAAGGCCCAGACTGTGTTCGCAAGCCCCTGTGTGGTGAAGCTCTCCAAGCGCTGCTCCACGAGCTCCCCCAAAGCCTTGAAGAGCTTGCCGTCGGAATGCCCCGCGGTTGCAAATGCCCACCTAGGTTGGCCCTTGAAACCCTCTGAAGAATATTCGTCAAGATGACCCTCTTCAACCCAAGAAGAGAAAATAAAAAAAACTCCAAACGGCCTACCTAGCCACGTGGTGTTGGCAGCTTCCTGCGCGTTGAAGTTGTCAAGGTACCATCGCTGCTGGGCGGCTGCAGCAAGGGCATTGAAGAGCTCGGCATCCGCATGGCCTGCCTTCGCAAAAGCCCAGGCCACATTGGCAAGCTCCTGGGCGTTGCAGTTGCCAAGGTGCTCGCGCAACACGGCCGCCAAGGCCGTCATCAACGCCGCGAGGGAATCGGTGCGCGCCTTGCACGCACCGCTCTTCACGATGCCGTGCACAATGTTCGCCAGCTGGCGCGCCTCAATCTCTGGGCCCTTGACCACCGTGAGAGTATGCTGTACCAGGGACTCGAGCGCTGGCTTATTGCTCGGATCAAGAAACCACTGCTCTGAGTCCCTGGCAAGGTGCCCAAGCTTGTTCCAGCAAGCAGAGACGTGGATGTGGTTGAACTTAGCTAGGTACTGCGAGCAGTTCTGGAAGAGGGTGTCGATCGTCCAGGAGTTCTTGATGAAACTATTCAGCAATGCGGGGCTCACCGTCTCATCCGACGCTTTGCCAGGCCGCTTTCCTTTCCGGCCACCCTTTCCTTTGGTGGCACCATTGACACCCATAACGTCGTGGAGTGAGGGTTCAGGTGTTCGGGTTTCGGGGCTTCTGGTGCGGTTAGAGCTTCCTTTCTTAGGTGTTGCAAGTACATCGGCTCCCTGTCCTGAGGTCTTCGTAGCCAGCCTGCACTTGCTCTAAACCCTAAACCCCAGAAACCCTAAACCCTAAACCCTTTCAGGTTTTTGATGTGCGTTTGGCCTGAGCACAAACCCCAGACAAACATGGTGGTGGAACCCCCGGCGCAGCAATCTTCAGAGAGGCAACCGAGGAATACCGAGGATTTGGCCTTCAAGACCTAAGTCTAACAACCCCTGAACTTCGTTTGGGCTTTAGGGTTTAGGGTTTAGGGGTTTATAGGGTTTAGGGTTTAGGGTTTAGGGTTAGGGGTTCAGGTGCAACGGCTTGTGCCTCCGTTTAAATCCCCCACCTGAGGCTTCAGACGTCCCAGCAACATCCCTAAACCCTTAGGGTTTAGGGTTGAGGGTTTAGGGGAGCGTGAACCGTATGAGGCCGAATACGCCTCCTCCCTGGGTTTAGGGTTTGGGGTTTAGGGTTTAGGGCTTAGGGTTTAGGATCCCGAGGGCCCTAGATGTACCCGTGAGAAGCATGCCAAGTGAAGGGGAAGCCCTCAATCTGGTGTCACCCCATACCCCAAGAACCTTCCGCGCACAGAAACATCACCATACACACCTGGATCAGTGACCCCCAAACCCAAAATCCAAAACCCAACACCCCAAAACCCTATAAACCTTCCAAACCCTAAGCCCGAAACCCTAAATCGTTTAACACCTGCCTAACCCTGAAATGTTGCCCTCACACCCAAGGTCTTGAGATCCCAAAATATCACCAGCCCCCCTCCTCCTCCCGCCAGACCCCACCAAACGCCGTTAGGGCTCATGGGGGTTTAGGGTTTAGGGTTTGTGGGGGTGTAGAGGTTTGCTTCGAGGTTCATATGGTGAAATAGAGTTAGGGTTACAAGTGCCCCAAACTTCGGTTTATAAGTACAATCGCTCATGAACCCTCAAGTAGGGGTTTCGGGGGAGTTTTTGGGAGGCCTGGCCTCTAGGTGATGTTGACAGAACTGGAGTAGCGGGAAGAGGACCTCCTGCCCAGGGGTTTTCGGGGGCTGGGCAGCTCCATGTGGGGTTTAGGGTTTAGGGGTTGTGGAGGTTCCGGAAACTTTCTGGTAAAGGTGTTGAGGGTTTCAAGTTGTTGGCTTCAGTACAGGTTTAGCACAAGTGATGGGCACTTGCTAGACTCGGGCGGGCTCCCCCTAAACCCTAAACCCTAAACCCTAAACCCTAAACGCAAGGAAATCCTTGTGCCGGTACAGCAGCAACTTCTCCACCAGCTCGACGGCGGCCTGGTGTTTGCAAGGGGTCCTTGGAAGTGCATAGGTTAGTTTAGGGTTTAGGGTTTAGGGTTTAGGGTTTAGGGTTTAGGGTTTAGGGTTTAGGGTTTAGGGTTTAGGGTTTAGGGTTTAGGGTTTAGGGTTTAGGGTTTAGGGTTTAGGGTTTAGGTTACTTATAGGTAGGGCTGTTATAAGTGCCCTAAATGGGGTCAGACGTAGCGTTACCATACTTATATCTATGAGTATGGTTTAGGCTTAGGTAAGTTATAGGTAGGGTTCTAGGATGGCCCGGAAAGCCCTAGGAAAAATATTCCTGAATATGATCCTCTAAAACCTTATAAGGGAAAACATAAAATGTCCCGAGGGCCTACCGAGGGTTTAGGGTTTAGGGTTTGGGGTTTGGGGTTTAGGGTTTAGGCTTTAGGGTTTGGGGTTTAGGGTTGAGGGTAGTTCTAGGTAAGGTTACAAGTGCCCCGAAGTGGGTTCCCTCAGGCCGGCTCGGGCCTGGTGTGGCCGGGAGTCAGAGTCGCAGTCGCTGAGCAGCTCTCGGAGGAGCTCCTGGGGGTTTAGGGTTTAGGGTTTGGGGTTTGGGTTTAGGGTTTGGGGTTTGGGGTTTGGGGTTTGGGGTTGAGGGTGTGGGGTTTAGGGGTTTAAGGTTTGGGGTTCAGGGTTTGGGGTTTAGGGTTTGGGGTTTGGGGTTTAGGGTTTTAGGGTGTGGGGTTTAGGGTTTGGGGTTTAGGTTTTTTTGGGGTTTAGGGCTTGGGTTTGCGGTTTTAGGGTTTAGGGCTTAGGGGCTTAGAGGCTTAGGGGCTGTCAAGGGCTTGGGATCCACTTAGCGTTTGGGGGAGGGGGGGGGGGGGGGGGGGGGTTGTTGTGCTGTGCACTTAGGGTCCGGGGACCTACGGCAAATTACTCAGGGGCCTGGGTTGATTCTTATGATTCACTTTGAACTTAGCTTCAGTAATTAACTTCGGTTGACTAGTGCAAGTACTCTAGCTAGTCTAGTAACGTAATTGTTGAGATTAGGATATATTTGTTCTTGTTTCTGAGCTTAGGGATTAGGGGGGGGGGGGGGGGGGGCTTGGCATTTGGGGATGCTTAGGTGTCCCCAAGCGCTAAGCTCCGAGCCCCTCTAGGTTCAAGCAGGCCTAAACCCTGTACCCGAAACCCTAAACCCTAAACCTAAACCCTACACCCTCAATACTAAACCTCTCTTGCAGCTCCCACCTCCGGATCAAGGCGCCAAAGCTGCATCTCCACGTCGCCGAATCGGATCTGAGGGGTTTAGGGGGGGGGGGGGGGAAGGGGAGGGATGGCTTCCCTTCTTTGCAGAGAGCCCCAAACTTCGGGATTTTGGAGGGCGGTTTCGGGTTTGGGGTTTAGGGTCTGCAGGATTTTGGGGTGTAGGGTTAAGGAAAAATTCCGTACAGCATCTAGAGATCTTCGTTCTGATACTAATTCCTGAATTAAGGGGGTATAGTGGGTCCACAAAACGCCCAAACTTCCAAGTAAATCCTGTGTAGCCACACCACCGACCGCGAGGTCACCCCGGATAGGCTGTCACCAACGAGGGTCCCAAACCCGAAGGCCTTGGTCGAACCCCCCCCCAGTTTTGGGGCTTAGGGTTTAGGGTTTAGGGTTATAAGGGTTAAGGGTTAAGGGTTAAGGGTTTAGGGTTTAGGGTTTTTAAGCTTTATAGATTTTCTGGGATGCTCCCCATTATACTAACATGTCCTTCATATAGGGATTGTATTGGGGGTACTATAATCCCTATTAAGGGCTGTCCGTCTAAGGGGGAACATCTCCGGTTAGGCAAACACTCGGAACACTTCAGCTGCGGGTGCTCTTTTGCGCAGTAGCAAAGGTTTAGGGTTTAGGGTTTAGGGTTTAGGGTTTAGGGTTTAGGGTTTAGGGTTTAGGGTTTAGGGTTTAGGGTTTAGGGTTTAGGGTTTCGGGTTTAGGGTTTAGGGTTCGGGGTTCGGGGTTCGGGGTTTAGGGTTCAGGGTTTAGGGGTTAGGGTTGAAATAAACTCCGGTAAGTTTAGGGTTTGTAGGGCTTAGGACTTAGAGCCTGATTGGGTCCTCTAATGGCCGGGGAGAAACACAGTTAGCTTTCGGGCTATAAGGTTGTGAGGGGGCATTTCGGGTTGCTTCGGGTTTCGGATCTGTAAGGGACAAATGCCTTGACCTTTGAGTCCAAGGAGCTTCTCATACTGAAAGGTTATATCCAGTCAGCACCTCAGGTTTCGTTTTGGGGCACCCCAAAAACCCCCTCCCTGAACCTTGAACCCACCCCAAACCCTGCACTTCAAAACAAGGCATCCTAAACCCTCAACTGTAAACAAGGCACCCGAAACCCTAAGAATAATACAAACACAAGAAAGGCCCGGAACCCTAAAAAAAGTACCTGCCAAACCATGTGGGCCCCCCTAAACTTTAAACAAGGCACCCTAAACCCTAGGAATCAAACACAAAAAAGGCCCTGAACCCTAAGAATTACACACAAGACAGGCCCTTGAACCCTAAGAATTAAACACAAGAAAGGCCCTTGAACCCTAAGAATTACACACAAAAAAGGCCCTGAACCCTAAGAATTAAACACAACAAAAGGCCCGGAACCCCATCGCGGACCCCTTCGCGGATCGGCCTGCGGGAAGATGCCATGATGCAAGAGCTCCTGGCTGCAGGGGGTGAGAAGGCTTGGGCCTGCGACTCCCAAGTCCGGGTTTAGGGTTTAGGGTTTGGGGTTAGGGGTTTAGGGTTTAGGGTTTAGGGTTTAGAGTTTAGGGTTTAGGGCCCCAAATCCCTGGTCCCTCAACCCTCACCCAAGATGCCTCAACCCTGAATCCCATAAAGCCCCCTTGCAAGGCTTCGACCTTCCTTTCGGTCCTGTGGTCAAGGTGCAAAGGAAGGCCCCAAAGGAGGCGTGTGGAAGGCCCCTGAGAAGCCCTTGGTTGCCCCTGCGCCTGCAACCCCGGCTTCCGGAGACGAGAAAAAGGCTCTCTGGCCAAGAACCAAAATCGTCCCCCCCAGCTCAACAAACTGATAAACAATTTCGATCGGTCCATGGTTTCAGAGTCCTTCACAGGACAACACATTTTTGGTAACATGTGGCCGCCATGCACCTAGGCAATCCCGAGTCGGCGAGACCTTGGGATTTAAGGCGGTGCTGAAGGCTTGGGGTTGTAGAGCTCCCTGGAACCCTTTTGCATCCGACAGCCTCGAAATTTCAGAGTTGCTTGTAAGGTCATGTAAGGTCTAGGTTGTTAGGTTATAGGGCTGACCCTAAACCCTAAACCCCAAACCCTAAACCCTAAACCCTACGGCACAAACCCCCGCACCAAGTTTGTAGATCTTTGCACTCGATGATCTGCGATGCGCTCTCTGTAGGTGCCCTATGAATGCTCCAGTCTTGGCTGCACTCAGAAGGGTAGCTGTAATATAAATTAAATTGTTAGCTGCCATATTAAGAAACCCAATAAACCCAAAAAGACTAAGGATCTAAAGTTACAGTAAAGCACCACGGGTTTAGGGTTTGGGGTTTAGGGTTTAGGGTGAATCGGGCGGAAGACCGTCGGCAAACACCAGGGCAGTGGTTGGCCCGTCAGCGCATCGAAAAAAGATGTACCGAATCTGCCGACGCGCGACGTGGACT